TTTTCCCCTTTCCTATCCCCCTAATAAACTCATATCTGTTACTCTGGGCGACATGTCTGAAATCTTCCTGGCCTGATTGCAAGCCTCAGCTTCACAGCAGTCCTCTGCCATGTAACTCTCTCACACTACAAGAAAACCAAAATATTCACTGTTTTTATGTTGCAGTCCAAAGGCACATGGAGAGTATTCACTTGAACAATCAGATCTTGCTATTCTCAGCTCTCTCACAATAGGTTGCCCACTTCAGGGTGTAGTCTTAAAATCATCCTTTCCAAAGGAAGAACAAAGCTTCTTTTGTTATTGTAATTTTGTTTCTCTGGTGCTTAGTATTTTGTTGTGATTTTCATTACCTTGCTTTAAGTGGTTTCTATTCCCCAAAGACTGTGAAGCTGCAAGTCTTATCTTTCTCATACATGTGTAGGAATGCAGAAGGTATAAGTATGTATGTATATTGTATATATATGCATGTAAGTTTACACACACACACACACACACACACACACACGTAAGTGTGTATGTTACCCAAAAGAAACATAAATCCAGGCAAACTCACTTTAAATAAATAGGCATCTCGAAAGCTTAAGGTAAATCAAATCCTCTAAAAGGAAGCTAGCTACCAAAAAGAGTTACGCTGAAACTCCTATTATAGAGAAAGGATTCTTCCTAAGAAGAAAACAAATGTACCTGAAGATATTACCTTTTGCTTATATCTAGATTTTCTCTCTCTCTCTCTTTTTTGCTTAAAAAATCATTCATATAGAGTTTAAGTAAATGATAGTCTTTAAAATCTTTGGGCAAGGAATATAAATTTACTACAATGAAATGGTTTCAATAATTTCATTTTGGTTGATTACCACAGTGTAAGCATGATATTGACTATAGTTTGATGACATGAATTATTACATTAAGATCCCTATCCATTAGCTTTGAGCACCATGAAGCCCACAGGAACCAGTCCCTGCTCTGAGTGTCATGCTTAGTCATGAATGGTAATCAGGGAAAGGACAATGAAGGCTGAGTGAAAACCCATAGGGAGCCTTATCCAAAAATAAGCACATAGAAAATGAGGGTCTGTCTGTTATGTTACCTGCCCTCCCACCCCCCAGTTATAATCACATCTTCTTAAGATCATGTCACACCCTCTTATCAGGAAACTATGTCATAACCCCAATTACCCTGTAGTATGTAGTCCCAACCACACTGGCAACCAAATGATCAAGACCTCACAAAGAAAGCATGTTAAGGGTCGAAGTATAATAAACTAAGTGAGTGGCAAAACAGGGGGACTCAGTTTCCTTAAAAACTCCTACTCTATGAGCATCATGTCATCCTTTCTTGAAGTTGGTTCAAGCAGTTCCTATGCTGTTGGTCAAAAATCAAAAGGCATATCTAGGACTTCCTGGGAACTTCCTTGGGACCCCCAATATTCTCCTCTCTAAAAGGACCCAGCCTCTCCCTTAAGAATGTCCCCTCTTCTCTTTTCCTGCCACTTCTAATAAGCTCATGTCTGAGCAACATATCTGAATTCTTTCTGGCTTGAACATTAGAATCAAGGGGAAGAGGGATCTCTGTGGCAGCCTCAGCTTCACAGCCGATGTCTGCCCTGTAATGTCAGGAAGTTTATAATTTAGTTGAAAAGTACCCTACAATGAGAAATAGAGAAGACAGAAATTGAAAACATGTTGTGTGGATGTAGAGAACACATGTAGAAATAACTAGAAAGATTTAAGGCTGATAAAACAGAGAACAGGATGCACATCTGGAAGATGATGAGGAGGGAAGGTGCAAGTAAGTACAAGCTTGAGAAGAAAGCATGTGACATAAAAACAAAGGTAGAAATGGTTGCTAATGGAAAGCTGATGAGACACACAGGCTTCTACCTTGTACAGAGTTTGTAATAAAGAAAAGTAGAAAATCAAGCTATTAATAAGCGTGAGATCACATGCTGGAATTTCCTAAATATATTTGAACAGCTAGGCAACAAGGTGCAAATATGAAAAATAACATTTATATTAAAGAAAAATTAACAAGGCAGGAGTTCAAAAGGTAGACTGGCAGAGAGCAATTTCAGGCAGGAAGATCAGGTGTGTGGCAATGATTTTAACTCACAGGTGAAAATAGTGTGAACTAAGTGGGTATAGAGAAAAACAAGGAGACCAGTAGTTCTTAACAAAGAAAAATAGCATTTCATGTATTCTTCATGTAGATGCATTCTCACAACCTTCCATAACACTTACCTGTGGAAGCTGAGCGAAGCCCTCTCATCCACCCACTAGAAAGCTGCAATGCAAGCCCCAAGACACCAGGGTCTATCCTGTTTTGTGCTCTGTTACACTGCCATTGCCTCAACATTGGCACACTGTAGGAGTGCCATAATATTTCTTGAATACTTAATATTTCAAAATACAGTTTGAGGTCCACCTTTCCTTGAAACTTTTCCTAATTCTTTCAGGTAACACAGCAGCAAAGCTTAGGGGGAATTTTGAAGTTCAGGATACTAAGTACAACTGCTCTTCACACGCATTTAACTTGAACTAATGACTTTGAACTTTCCTGATTCTCAGTTTTCTCATTTGTAAAACAGAGAATACTACCTAACTTACAGAATTGTTATGAGGTTCAGAGAGTAGGGATGTGTGCTGAGGATTCATCCAGGTGCATGTTAGCTACTCAGTCCATGACAGTTATTAATCAAAAGCAAGCAGAACTTGGTCATGTCCTTATTACTGTCATCCAATACTGTATTCAATTGGGTGACAGCACTTAGGGCTTTCCATTAGACAGTGTCGTGACTATCTTCTCTCCCTCAATACACAAAGTTGTGGCAAAACTACTAATTTCTGTAATGTGTCTAGAAAACGCCACTGCCAAAATTAATCAGAAGCCCTATCTCAGTAAAACTTCTTGCTTGATTAGACCTCTGTAGCTTCTTTGCTTCAATAACATAGATTTTTAATCTTGTGTCTCAAAAGTGTTTATGTTCATTTTTGCTTTCATTTCTGAAATATGAGCACTATAAAGATAGGGATGCTTGCTTCCATTCACACATTCTTGATGTCTGATAAACTAGTCGGCATTCATACACATTATGTGAAAGATGGGATAAATAAAAATTACTAAGCTATATAACTTTACAGAGCAGGGAAAGTGGAGAGTCAGAATACAATGACTATCAGATCATGTTATCTTCAATATAAATTAATCTTAGAGAGCAGAGACTACTAAAAAAATTAAATTCAGTCTGATTTTAGGAACTTAGTTCATTAGGATGTTTTGATTAAGGAATCCTAGATAACCTGAGAGTTTAAGCAAGCAGTTCTTTTGTCCTTTCTACATCTGTTTGGATATAGAAAATTGTGGCAATTGCATCCTATTTGAGAGTTCTGATTCACTTCTGATTGCAGGAAACAGGGATCATAGGACCTCCTTTTGTCAGTCAACAGCACTTACTAAACACCTTCAATGCACAATGCAAAGAGACTGGTGAAACTCATCCCTAGCTAAGAAGATACCAGATTCCTCTGAGAACAACAGTTTACTTAAACAGACAGTAGTATTGAAAAAGAACACACCCAGAGTCCATTTTTCATTATATTCTTAGGTAAGATTATCACTTGGCGATTTCACTGATACCAAGGTTACAAGCTGCAATTTGGAAATCAGCCAAAACAGTAAAAATGAAATCCTTCATTTTTCATTTAGTGTCTTGTAAAATAAATGATTGGACTCTGTTTTCTTTTAATAGTTGATCTGCACTTAGCTATAATAAAGTCATGGTGGATATGTGTATATATAAAAACACCCATTATATATGCATATGTATATATGGTATATATTTTTCCCCAGGGCTTCAGGCAGGCCAGGCAAGCACTCCACCACTAAGTAACCCCAGCAGGGCATTTATAGAATTCAAAAACCTATTCATATGTTTGAAGAAATGCATTGATTTTTTCTGGAAAGCACGATGGTCTCATGCATAATATATTAACTCCAGATCTTATTTTTCAAAGAGGAAATAGAGTACTTTGTCTACTAAAAATTATATGAAATCTATATTTTTAAAGTATTGCCTTAGTAGACAGGAAATTCTGTATAAGTAGGGCAATATTTCATTATGTATTGATTCATCTCAACCAAAAATAAGAGCATATTAATTTACTTTTAAATGGATAATACTGGTAAAATGCAGCTATTTTAATAATCTACTGGCAACATACAAATTTATACTCTTCCTTGATGTTTAAGATCAGTTTACAAAGATTGGGGGAGAATATTACTTTTCAATATTACAGTATATTTACCTTCCAATATTATATAATTTACTTTTGATACATTGTTCTTCAGTGTTATTGTATGAGAAACAAAGGACATTAAGCAGCATATGAAAAATGTGAAAATAATTTTAGCTTGTAGTCTTTTAAACAAATAATATAAAGCAGGTAGATACAAATGGCTGACTAAATAAAACAACATGTATATGTTAAATAGAAATGATAGTCTCATAAAAGATTCAACTCAAATGGCTACCAGTAGATCCCAAACAAATTATCAATAATCTTCCAAAAAAAAAAAAAAAACAATGTAATTGTCAAGTCTAATTATAGGTATCTCATAAGGATGTGTACACCAAAGATACAATAGCCGCAGTGTCCTTGGAAGTGGCTACGCTCCCAAGCAAATCATGCCTATTAGTTCCTATTCATGATTTAAATTATGCTATTTTATCTCTTCATAACATGCAGCATTTTTCACCCTCACATTTCTAGGCATTTTAGCTTCTGCTGACATAAATATATTCCCAAAATAGACCGTTACAGCAATCTTCTGCTAGACATTTAAGCCCATTTGTGCATTTATTTTTTAGGATGCTTTTTTTCTTTTTTCTTTTTTTTCCAGTGAGAGAGCTGGGAAGGTAGTGTCAGAATGAATGAGAACTTGTTTTCTAAAGGGACACCAGATACTTGATCTACCCTTAAAAAAAAAAAAAATCAGCCTCCTACCTTGAAAACAAACATCTCATGGCGAAGAATAGCTAGAGTGTTAAAGTTCCCATCACAGATGTTTGGTTTGGCTCCAGGATAGGAAGGTCTGCCGGTGGGGGGCCGAGGAGGCTTTGGCCTGTCATTTTTCCTTGGGTCAGCCGGAGGAATAGAGCGGTGTGGGGGCACTGTTGGTAGAGGTCTTGTAGGTGGAGGGATCTTGTCAGGTGGACCTTTTGAAAATATGAGGACAGTGCTTGGCTCACTTAAAACTGGAATAGTGCTGGAAAATATGCTACAGAGAACAATCACTTATCAGCATAGGGCACAGACTAAGTAAGCTAAGAGGTATTTAGGATCCTCTATTTTCTGAAACAGAAAACCATCTTACCCACAGATTGCCAAGTCTATTTGAAACTGTCCTCATCACGCTAGATTCTGAATCTAAGTAACTAGGTTTTCTTTGTCAATTTTTAATGATTTTTTTAAAATTAGCTTCACCATAGACCTTATTGGAAAGCTGCTCTCAAATCTTTTTTAGAAGTGGATGGTTTATAAATAATAAATAAATGAAAATGAATCCTGGAGCCACACATGTAAGCTCCAATAAAATTAGTTCTGAATTTTGACAGACATGCAAATATTGCTGAAAGATAAACACTTAACTAATCAAAGTTTATCCTACTGTAGATCTTATAAACTTTTAAAACTATATTTTATAAACTTTTACTGATTTCACTATTTCCTTTGATTAAACATTTTGACAAATTGCTGGATGAGTGTTTCATTTAAATATTGAATTGAAAGTACCTATTGATTAAAATACCACCAATAAAATATTAATGTCAAGATGTTTTTCTAAAATGAGGCTTCTAAATCAAGCCAAAGTTTACACATGTTATTTGGTACAAATGTTAAGCATTGTTCCTCAAGGGATTTATGTTTTAAAACGTAAAAACAGAGCTGTTCGCACTTAAAATTTAAATATGGGAAGGATATAATTTTGTAGATCTTTAGACTACTAAATTCATGAGGTCATGAGAAAAAGACTTCTTTCAGCTAACCACTTGAGAGGAATTTCTGATGATACACACTTAAGCATAAGCTAACAATTCAATGCATGAGATCTTTAGCTTTGAGGCTGAGACAGGTCTTTTTTCTCAGTGCTCCAACAAAATAAAGAGCAGCACAAAAGCTGACCTTTTTTTCAAATCTATTTTTATCCTGCAAGAATGCTTGCCTCTGAGATATTAAGATCTGAAAACTAATGAATGCAAAGAAAATTAGTGAACTTAAACTACACTGTTTAAAAATGCAAATAGCATCCTTTGGATGCTGGATATTAACATACAGATAGCACATATTTGTCTTTGTGTTGTAAAAATGAAAGCTTCACTTCATTAATTTAGTAAACCATACTTGCTATATGTAAATTATAAATATCAAGTTCTTAACAATTATGTGAGAAATAAATGTCTTTAAAAAGGTCAATGGTTGTATTGAGGAAGTTAGGATTATAGTAAATATGCATGCTAGTCTTCCCTTTTCTCTTAATTTGCATTTAACAAATGAATCCCATAAATAAAAATGAGATTACTGTACTAAAATTTTATCTCATGTTATGTGTTAATAAACTTAGCCACTTGTTAACTTTCACTCCCTTGCAGGTTAACATTCATTCTTCATGATTTTGAGGTCAGTTTATTAACTTTGAGGTCAGTTTATTACATCCATCATATAAGGGTGTTTTTAGGCCCTCCAAGAGTGATTTTTCTGGGAAATTCCTAATAGCAACTCACAGAAACTGTGAGCTAATCTGTCAGTTTGTACTAAAACCTCAACATCTTATATAAAATTCTTACATTTATTACTGGTTTTATTGGTTGGATTAATTTATTATATTTTTAGCTCAATTTTAAATATGAACATTTATTAGATCATTAGTATAACTGCAAATGTCAATTAAATACCATACGAAAACTTTCAATAAGAAAGACTTCCCCATTACATATATATTAAAGCATCTGAAACTGTTATCAACAAAACTCAATTGAGAAATTGACAGAAGAATTTTCCCTGTGGGCCAGATGTGTATATATATATGTGTGTGTGTGTGTATATATATATATATATATATACACACACACACATATATATATACACACATATATTTTTTTTCCTTCAGTTTTTCACTGTCTTATATACTTACAGCATCCATTTCTAAAAAGAAAATACAGCAGGGTTCTGAACATCACTGCTGGTTTAACCAAACAGAAACAGTGGTAACCTACCATATATCTTCTGGATGCCCTGCAAGTCATCATTAGGAAGTTTGAAGTTGTCTGTTTCCATGTATTGGTAGAATGGAGCCATGATAGCTGTGGGGTCATTTGAATGCTCCAATCCCAGAGCGTGTCCCAGTTCATGAACTGCCACGAGAAATAAGTCATTTCCTGTGCAAAGGAGAATAGAAGACAAAATGATTGTAACAATAGTCAAATAAAGAATTAAAAAGAACAATCTAGAACATTCCAAATGTTACCCAAGAAATATAAAAGGAATTCTTTACTTCAACTATGAGTATGCTTTAATCATTGGCTATCCTATTCACCAAATCCAATATCCTTCTTTTAAAAAGGGGTTGTTGGCGGGAAGGAGATAGTGATTATTGAAGTCACAGAAATTTGGAAAGTGGAAGTTAGAAAAAAAGAATAAAAGTTGAAGAAAGAACAACAGAATCAGAAACCAATAATACTGCTGTTAAAATAACCTTCCAATTATAATACCTAATATACAACACCTTACTTTTATAACATAAAGATAACAATAACAGATTATTTTTAAAAATTCTAACAACAACTCAGAAAAAAACAGAGCAGATCTAACTCCTGCTTTTATACAGAGGAGTAAACTAAGGCACAAACAATTTGATTCTCAAGACTGATGCTTGTACTTAACAAAATTGCAACTGGTATTCAAGTTATTGTAAATTCTAGACTAAATCTTTAATTTTTCACTACACAATATCACTATACACTAGTAGTATAGTAGCATAAAAAAAAAAAAACACTGGTTAGCAGTTATACTAATGAATTGTAATGTTAGCTCTATAAATACCAATTCTCATCAATTCATAGATAATCTGAACATAATATATTTATCTAAGAGCTGCTGTGCCCCATGGAAAATTCCCATTTACAGTAAACATGTAAAGTCAATTCTACTTAGTGCAAATTATGTGACTTTATGTAGTCACTCCCTGCTGATGACTTCTACATGTTGTCTGATAGCAAATCTTCATAATTGAACTCCTCAGGAAGAAAAAGGTGACTTTATATCTTTATTAGTTAATTCTAAACATTTACTTATAATCTGTTAGCATCAAGTGGGACTGTTATATTTCTCAGGATTATGTTTCTAAGCAAAATCTTCAATGAGATTAAAGTGTCAAGTTTTACTTAAATGACAGGCCACAAATGCAAATGATTTCAGTGACTATAATTTTTAGAAAAACTCCTTTCCAAGCATTTTGTAGTGCAGTGTGATAATTTCCTTCAAAGGACTACTTTGGGAACACAAATCCAGATAAATAACCAAACTTTTTTCCCCCATTCTGGAGTAGTTTGTAATGGACAAATGGTTGAGATTAAGGGGCTGGTTCCTCACATGACATTAGCACCCTGAGAAAAGCCACTGAAACTACATTTCCAGGGATTTACCTGACTCAAAGAACAACTGATTAAACACTGGGAGTCAAATTTGAGAGGTATATAAAGAAATAAATATTACTATTTTCAACCTCAAAGAGTGTAATCTTCCCATAAAATTACCTAAAAGAGAAAATCAAGACACAAAAGAAGCAAAATATAGTATGTATTAGCTACAGTAATGAAATACTAACTATCTCACTGAAAGCTAACTAACCCTATTGTGGGCATATTGATTTTACCTGGATTTTCTCATTTAATTCCTGCAACAGTTGTGTGACTAATTTATGTATTATCATCATCTCCATTTCAAAAGCAAAACAAAACAAAACAACAACAACAACAACAACAAAAACAAACAAGAAAACTATGTCTGGAGACATTATGTAAAAATTGCAAGGTCACGTAGTAAGGCAGAGCTCAATTAAAACTTCTTATTGTGATGCCAGAGATTATACTTTTAATAACTACACTAAATCACACAGCTAAAAAAGCATTAGCATGCATGACAGATTATATAGTGCAATCATATGAAAACAAGTTTCATTCATTAAATCATTCTCATACTTTACAATCATTCACTGCAAGCCTACAATGGATTAAGCACTTATCTTGGCTCTTACAATATAATAGTAAACAACAACAAAAAATTTCCAACCCTGTAGAATTGACATTCTTAAGTGGAGGATACTAGGAAGAAACAAAATAAAAGAGCAAAGTATATATTACGTTATATAGTTATAAGTAATGAGGATAAACAGCAAAGCAGGAAAGGATGGGGTCATCAGGGTGACAGCATGTATGCAGGGTAGATAACAGTAATGGTTCTGGTTTATGGTGTCACTAAAGTAGGAAGCACCAAAAGTTTTTGAGAAGAAAAGTGGCATAATTTGACAACCATTTAAACAGGATCACTTGGATAATTTATTCTAATTATTTTTGGGGATCAACTGCAAGGTGCAAGGAAGCAGCATGACTCAAGATCTGAAGCTATTGAAATAATCCAGGCAAAAATGCTGTTGGACTGGACCAAAGTGGGAACAGTGAAGATAGACAGAAGTGATACAATTCTAGATAATATTAAAGGCAGAGTCACAGAGTTTAATACAGGACAAGATGCATGGTCTAAGACAAGAAAATGGTCAAAGGTAACACCATGTTTTTGATCCAAGAAACTGCAAGAATGAAGCTGCCATCCACTGAGATGCAGAAAGCCCCCAGGACAATTGTTTTCTATTGCTTTTGTGTGCATCTGTATGGAGGCAGGATGTGGGGCAGAGAGCTGGGGAGCATTATCAGAAGTTCAGGTCTTTTAGTGTTAAATTAGAAATCATTTAAAAAATATTCAGTGGGAGGTGTCAAGTCCGGTTAGATAATTGCAAGTGGAATTCGGCCACTTGCAATAAGCATCCTTAGGATAAAATGAGGAAGTTGGCCTTAGAAGCATGCACAGTTTGAAGTAACAGATAAGAAGGTAAAATATAACAGGATGGGAAAAGTAGTGGTGGAAAATCTCTCCTAAATTTTTAAATTTTCTTTGTGAAATAGAAAGAAAGTTATAAGAGAAAACTAAGAGAACACTGTGGAAGAAAAAGGAGAGAGAAGAAAGTATGATATATATATACACACAGAGGAGTTGAAAAGAGAATGGACTTGGAATATAGGAAAACATAGGCAGTATTGAGGATCATGATTCTGAAGTGAAATGGATCCACTATGTGGTTGTCTTTTCTGTCCACCCTCATTCAACTATGTTAATGTAGATGCTGAGTCAATAGAGTTGTAACACATTTAATATTAAAAGTAGAAAGACAAAGGAACTGTTGGTGTATGTGAAGGAGTGATTTTTGACAGACCATGGTACTTGTGCTATGAAAAGAAAATGGCACTAATACTATAGAATAAGGAAGACAAGAACGAGGTAGGCTGATAAAATTACTGAAGTTCAACTTTTAAGTTCTGATGTAGTCAAAGGAAGTCATGATGTTATTGGGAGTGAGTTGGACAAGTATAGAGTGGTACCCATTATGGATACTCACAATTGAGATTTTTAAGAGTAACAGTAAGAATATAATTATGGAAGGAAGTCTCTGAGTTAGAATAGAAATAAAATAATTGGAAAGGAGCTCTAATAACTGAGAGACCAGAACACTAGAAAAATGATGTGCTGACTGTTGAGAACACCAAGAATTAAAGCTAGGGTAGTACTGAAGAGAGTGGCACTGAACCACGAGGAAAAATCATCAAGAAACAGCGAGATGACTTGAGGGTTAATAGAGGACTACAGCAAAGAGAGTGTGTGATTGGAATAATTTGACAAATATTACCATGAGAGCTTAACGTTTTTATGGAAGGAGTATGGAAATGATCTGTAAGTACAATTAAAAAGGATTTGAGCACCATGATTTGAGTACTTGTGATAGAAAGAATATGGAGAAGAAAACACTGGAAAGAATGTAAGAGAAAGGATATAATCAAAGTAGAGAATAATTTCAGTTGCAAAAAAACAACTTAAGGGAAAATGTTCTCAGCAGAAGTTCATTATCAAGAGGATGTGGACAATGAGAGACCTGGAATTTCTCTGGTGGTAGTAGTTTCAGAAGATGGAGAGTAGAAAGAAACAGAGGCAGAATTGGTGATGCTCAAATCATGTGGGAATTAGCAGGGGAAGAGCATCCTCTGCTTCCTGTGGTGATTGATGGATATGAATAAAGGTAAGTAGATAATCAGACTAAACATTATTCCATATGTAGGAGATTATTTCCTTAAGAATGTGCTAAAAGAAATTAAAGAGCACGATTTTTGCAGAATACAGAAAGTGAAATTATAGATTGGATCCTGGGGAAAAGAAACATGGAGAGAGAGAAAAAATAACTGCTTTTTAAAAAAAATTTCTATCACTTTCCCACTATCTATAAGATAATTCCGTATTCTTCAGGAAAATAATCAAGAACTTTCATGCATAATTCCTTGCCCTACCTTTCCAACATTGTATTATTTCTTTTCCTTGTATGAACTTATTCCCAGTCATAGAAATAGATGCTTGCTCAGTCCTTAGGGTCTCTGCATAACTGTCTTTTTTTCTCAGATTGCCCTTCGCTCTGTAGGGCACTGGGTGAACACCTCATCAGACTTGCCATGACTGTTCAAAATATTACTTTGTATGTTTTTCCTCCTTGGGGGAAATCCTTCTGTGTCTTCCCCTTTAGACACTCATAGCCCCTCGTGTGTCCCCTGTCACAACAGTTGCATTTTATCGGCATCATCTGTTGACAACTCTTCCCAGGGTATTCTGAGTTCTTTAGAAGACTGAAATTGAGCATCATTCATCTTCATGTTCTCAATGCTGAAGACACTGGCTGGTCTATAGCAGATGATTAATTTTTTAGTGATCTAGAATAAATAGACTAGCTTTAGGGAAGTGGAGAGCTAGTTTGGATTTGGGGAGTAAAGAGTAGAATGTTAAATTTCACCTAAACATGGTCGGTCTGATACTGGGAAATAAAAGACTAGGACTTCTGGGTTACTGGAACATAGAAAAGTAGTTTTAAAAATCAATGCCTGTAGACTGGGGATATAGCTCACTTAGTAGAGTGCTTGCCTCACATACACAAGGCCATGCCTAGCACCACAAAAGAAAAAAAAAATCAATGCTACTCTGGAGTGGAAAACTAGGGGAACAAGGCTATCAGTGATCATCTGAGCAACCTAGTCTAGTCACAGGAGAAGGAATAAAAACATAAGGA